GAGAAACATATCTTGACAGGCTTTCTCTCAGGTATGAGAAGGAAGGGAAGCAATCAGAGTTAGCACCTGTCGATGTCTTTGTTAGTACTGTGGATCCATTGAAAGAGCCTCCCCTGATTACAGCAAATACAGTTCTGTCTATTCTCGCTGTTGATTATCCGGTTGAGAAAGTTGCATGTTATGTATCAGATGATGGTGCTGCAATGCTTACATTTGAAGCTCTCTCTTACACAGCCGAGTTTGCAAGAAAATGGGTTCCTTTCTGTAAGAAGTTCAACATCGAGCCACGCGCTCCTGAATGGTATTTTTCACAGAAGATGGATTACTTGAAGCATAAAGTCCATCCCGCTTTTGTTAGGGAACGCCGTGCCATGAAGGTTTGTCGTTTTATCCTTAAAAAAAGGATCGATTCGGATTTGAACCAAAGCTTGATTCTTTTTGTCCCTTTTTTGGTGGTGAATTGTTGCAGAGAGACTATGAGGAATTCAAAGTAAAGATAAATGCATTGGTTTCTGTAGCACAGAAAGTTCCTGAGGATGGTTGGGCAATGCAAGATGGAACTCCTTGGCCTGGAAACAATGTCCGGGACCATCCTGGAATGATTCAGGTAATGGCTATGTCCTTGTGATGATTCTCCGTATGTCCTAGACTGAAGCCTAATTAGAGAATTTTGTGATGGAAGGTTTTCTTGGGACACAGTGGAGTTTGTGATATGGATGGAAATGAGTTACCTCGTTTGGTGTATGTTTCTCGTGAGAAGCGACCGGGATTTGATCACCATAAGAAGGCTGGAGCTATGAATTCCTTGGTTAGAATCTGTTTCTTTTCATTGCTCTCTCTTTTGATTTCCCAAATTCCGTAAAACTAAACTCATCAACTTTTCTTGAAGATCCGGGTCTCTGCTGTTCTCTCAAATGCTCCTTACCTTCTTAATGTGGACTGTGATCACTACATCAACAACAGCAAGGCAATTAGAGAAGCTATGTGTTTCATGATGGACCCGCAATCCGGAAAGAAAATCTGTTATGTTCAGTTTCCTCAGAGGTTTGATGGGATTGATAGACACGATCGATACTCAAACCGCAATGTGGTTTTCTTCGATGTACGACTTCTCTGAATTTGTTTTTGCTTTGTTCTATTTATGTTACTGCTACCCTTCTCATTGGTGTCTCTATGATTATAAACAGATCAACATGAAAGGTTTAGATGGCATACAAGGACCGATATATGTAGGGACAGGGTGTGTCTTCAGAAGACAAGCACTTTATGGATTTGATGCACCAAAGAAGAAGAAACCACAAGGTAGAACCTGCAACTGTTGGCCAAAGTGGTGTTGTTTGTGTTGCGGTCTGAGAAAGAAGAAGACAGCTAAGGCCAAAGATAACAAAAGAAAGAAGCCTAGAGAGACCTTAAAACAGATACATGCTCTCGAGCACATCGAGGAAGGCCTCCAAGGTAATTCATAATAATAAATAACATGTTTTGCTTATAGAGTAAAATATCTTGATGTCATCCTCATTTGGTTGATGATGTGGTTTTAATTTTGTAGTGTCAAATGTTGAGAATAACTCTGAGACAGCCCAACTGAAACTGGAGAAGAAATTTGGTCAATCACCGGTTTTTGTAGCTTCTACTCTTCTGCTAAATGGTGGAGTGCCTAGCAATGTGAACCCAGCATCTTTATTGAGAGAATCCATTCAAGTTATTAGCTGTGGATACGAAGAGAAAACCGAATGGGGAAAAGAGGTAAGCAGAGCTATAACTACTCTATTATCTTCTCTGCACTTACTGTGATAGCTTATTATGCTTCACTACACAGATTGGGTGGATATATGGCTCGGTCACTGAGGATATCTTGACGGGTTTCAAGATGCATTGCCACGGATGGAGATCTGTGTATTGTATGCCAAAGCGAGCGGCTTTCAAAGGTTCTGCTCCGATTAACTTGTCAGATCGTCTTCATCAAGTTCTACGTTGGGCACTTGGTTCTGTAGAGATTTTCTTGAGCAGGCATTGCCCGATTTGGTATGGTTATGGCGGCGGGTTAAAATGGTTGGAAAGATTCTCGTACATTAACTCTGTTGTCTATCCTTGGACATCCCTCCCGTTGCTTGTCTACTGCTCACTTCCAGCCATTTGTTTACTCACCGGAAAATTCATCGTCCCTGAGGTAAACTAGCGGCCTTGTAGATAGTTTTGGAATCAAAAGATCAAATCTTTATAGTTTTTAGAATCAAAATATTGAATCTTGAAATCCAAAGATCAAAACTTTGACGATGTTTCATTGATTTGTTACTTTTGACAGATAAGTAACTACGCGGGTATTCTCTTCATGCTAATGTTCATGTCCATTGCGGTAACTGGTATACTCGAAATGCAATGGGGCAAAGTAGGAATCGACGATTGGTGGAGAAACGAGCAGTTTTGGGTCATTGGAGGAGTCTCTTCTCATCTATTTGCTCTGTTTCAAGGTTTACTCAAAGTTCTTGCAGGAGTCAACACAAACTTCACAGTCACATCAAAAGCAGCAGATGATGGAGAGTTCTCAGAGCTTTACATCTTCAAATGGACATCCTTGTTGATTCCTCCGACTACTCTACTGATCATTAACATCGTCGGAGTCATTGTCGGAGTTTCAGATGCGATCAATAACGGGTATGACTCTTGGGGACCGCTTTTCGGGAGATTATTCTTTGCGCTTTGGGTGATTGTTCATTTGTATCCATTCCTCAAAGGGTTGCTTGGGAAACAAGATAGAGTACCAACCATTATATTGGTTTGGTCGATTCTTCTTGCTTCGATCTTGACTCTCTTGTGGGTTAGAGTCAATCCGTTTGTGTCCAAAGACGGACCGGTCTTGGAGATTTGTGGTCTTAACTGTTTAAATTGAGGACAACTAGGTTTCTTTCTTTATAATAATAAGAAGAAAAAAAAGCTGCGGTGTCTTTCATGGTTAAAGATCGGAGATTCATGAAGAATACGAAACGGAGTTTTAACAATGGAAGAAGCCATATGATGATGATGATGATGATGATGATGATAATGATGGCGATGATGGGTGATGTGTGCTCTTTAAGTGGTGGGTAATGTGTAGACATAAAGAGCTCTGTGCAGTTTTTACGTGTTACGTTTTCTTTCAAGTCTTTTCTTCATTAATTCTTTTATTTCATTGTAATAAATAATTAGTTTTTTTTTCCAAATCTTTGTTAGTGTAACAAGTTATGGCCTGTCATGGTAATTAGGCCTGGGCACGAAGAGGATATCCGGAAAATTTGGGATATTCGTTATTCGATTCGTTTCAACCGAATACTTGATTTTGTGATTTGCTTTGATCCGAAAATTATTCCGAATATCCGGATTTTTTTTGTGATATTTGCGGATATCCGGTTCGATACTTCTGCACCTATTAAAACTCTAAAATGCTAAGTGCTCGCGTGTAAAAACTACAAAGAAAAAGATAAAATTGGGAAAAGGAAATCGTTGCAGGATTCCAACTTCTTATTTTTAAAGGATATTGATTTTTTTTAATAAATTCTACTTCACTAATAAAAACTATTAAATTGTGTAACAAACACAGGTCCGAAGGATAAAAATTTGAGTTTACAAATACAAGTAAAAAACATATATTATGATATGCATATGAATATATATATATATATATATATATATATATATCAAAAAATACGGATCGAAGCGGATATCTGACTTTTTAAAAAATAATATTTGTTATTTGCTCCGGTTTTTACGAATACTAGGTTTTCCTATTTGCTTTGCTCCAAAATTTTACGGATATTCGGATTTTTCGAATCGAATCGAAACGAATACCGAGTCGAAGCGGATCTAACGAATATTTTGCCCAGGCCTAATGGTAATCATAGTAAGTTAATCCTAAAAGTAGGCTGCAAATGGTTGACACAAAATACCTAGTTGAAAGACATTCAACTAATTTTTCACCATTTGAGATGAAAGAATTGAAAAAAAGATTTAACCCATTCAACTTAAAAATCTGAAAAATTGAACAAATTCTACAACAAAAATGTTCAACTATTCAACTACAATTTTGCAGATGAATAGATTAAATGATTTTCAATCCAATATTTTCCAATTAAATATATTCAACCCATTCAACTTAAAACAACCAATATTTTCCAATTTAATATTTTCAATCCAATATTTTAAGTTATTTCTTAACCTCTTGTTTAATTTTTTTAAAAGTCTTTTGGTCTACTGGATCAAAGTTAAATACTTTCACAGTTTCACATTAGATTTGGTGTGTTTGAATTCCGTCTACATTATAATACTTTTGGTTACAATTTTTTTTAGCGTATTGTAGAAAGAACCGTCCGTTGTAATTTTACAACTTCATTACGCGTAAAACCATATATCATTAGTATATTTTGATGTTGGTGTAAATAGATGTTTTTGTTGTTTTTTTTTTGTTTTTTTTTGTTTTTGATAATTCAGGGGAATCTCAGACCTATGGAGGGGCACAGACTAATCCTCTGGGGGAGGTGCAGCCCACATATAGATTTTCTCTCCGGGTATGCAAATGGGCCGAAAACAAAAGCCCATATCCATAAGGCCAAGTGGAGATCTAATAATTGCGCGCTTGCGGGGAATCCATCCATGGCCTAGACCAACATGGCAACTCCTCCACAAGTGGCAACCACTAGACCAAGAACACTTGGTTATGTTTTTATTGTTTTCTGTTGTAAAATTGTTTTCTAAATCGTTCATTGTGATCATATAGTATTACAACATGTAGTTAGAAATTCGTTTTGTTTAACGTTAAATCATCATCATTTGTAACAAGATACGGTCAAATATCGTATTGGCAAAGACGTATAAATGTTTTTTCTACAGATACCACAAAAGAGTTTCCTTCAACTAATGGGATTGTAACACGTGGATTCAGGGACCCACTTAGGTGACAGTCCCATATTTGGAATCGGAATTTGGCTTACGTGGAACCCACCGAAATCGTGTAATAGAAGTCAAACGCATCTATATCTGTGTTTAAGCTAAAAGTAAACCTCATTGAAGAAGTAACATAGGAAAGCTTTCATAGCCGTTGGATCAACCAGACAAAACTTCATCTAGAGACTATAACTTTCAACGGATCAGATTCTAGATATACGATACACACGGTTGCACTAGATCAGCACCTTTCTTTAAATAAAATTAAATAATATCAGAAGACACGTTCTTCTTCTTACGAAACCGACTTTGTAGTTTCTCTCTTTTTTCCATTACACAAAAACGAAAAAACGACAAGACAAAAACAAATAACAAAATCTTTTAAATAAATATAAATCGACTCTCGCGTTTGTTTAACTTCTTGTTTATTTTTCTTACAGATTAATTAATTTCTCTACATGAACGATCCAATGGGAGAAACAGGATTTTCTAGAGAATCGGCGCCGGAGATGGTGTTCTCGGAGACGGATATGGCCGCGGCTGAGCAGCTTATGCAGCTAAGCGAAGAAGAGACGGTGAGCTGTAGCAGCAGCACCGGCGGAGATTGTGGCGGCGGAGGCGGAGACAAGACAAAGCATGAATATGTTAGCTCGAGAATCGGACACGAGCAAAACGACGGCGTACGAGGAAACTCTATTCTTGGTGTGGAGAGGAAGAGGAAGAGGGCGGTGATGAAGGAAAAGAAGTTTCGATCCCTCGAGAGTATTTACAAAGCAACGAAGGAGATTAGGGATTAATGGAGGAAAGGGATCGGAGATGGTTAATTATCGCTTCTTAATTACTTTTGTTAATCGTTGTTAGTAACCTGTTCAATGGGCTTCTTTGTGTGTATATGTTTAGTCCTTAATCTAACGTTGGAGCTGGAGAATTTGTGATAATAGTTTTTGGAGATTTTCAGATTACAATTGTAAATATTTTGGTTCACATATGAGACGTGGTACTGTTTTTTGTCCTTCATTAGGCATTTCGTTGCAAAAATTAAACAATTTTACTTTGGTTTTGATGAAAAGATCTTGGATCTGATAGTACATTCAAATTTTTTTCGTAATATTTAAAAATTTATTTACGTGCAAATGATTTCGTTTTGAATTTTAAATTTTGAGTTCTATGATGTGCCAACTGCCAACTGAGATCAATATTTTTTACCATTTCAAAAGTTTATAATGTTGTTCTACAACAAACCAGCACATGCACCACAAAATATCTTAAAATTTTGGTGATAATTTTTTTACTTATTGCAGTAAAAATTAAATCACATGATCACATCTTTTATTATTTGATGTTCAGTGAACTCGGGTCAGGAGTCTTCTTCGTGAACTTCTCGTTGAAAGCTTCATCTTCTTAATTATCTTGGAGACATGGAGTCATCTTCTGATTCTTGTAGCTTGTATTATGGTTTTTGTTATATCTTGATAAACGTGTAAAGAGAGGCCGAGAGTGAGTAAGAAACTGTTGTAAACATTCAGTTGATCGAGTGGGATGTTTGTGACACACAACGTACCCTTGAGTAGGTGTTGGAGCACAACTTTTCTCAAGGATAGTCAAATTTGTAAAAGAAAAGTATATTAAGGCAAGCAATGCAAGTCGCACAAGAAGATTCTATTGAAGTCTCGATTCTTGTAACATCGAGTCATCAAGGTTTCTTAGTGTATCAAGGATTTCATCGCGATGTATCTTTTTTTGCAATCATGTCTTGAACATCCAGACGGTTTTGGCAGCATAAGTGATTTTATTCATCATTTCCATCACAAACCGTGTTTGCCTCAACATTCTACATGTAGGTTGCAGTGCAACCGTTGCACTATCTGCTAATGCCTTCCACAAAAAACCTAGGCAAAAGAAATTAATTATTCACGTTTACTAGCATGGAGTTTAGAGGTTCCATCACACTGATTTTACAGGAAATGAAGTAAAATCTTTTTGTTATCTTGATTGACATCTACTCATCCCATATTTTTACTTGAAACTCTAAGTGGCAGGTTAAATCTACACAATGTTACATCCACAATAGGTGGAAAACCCTCACTTTCCGCATCATCCGAAAGAGATTTGGAGCTATATAGATGTTTTGACTCTTTGATATAACACTGTGGAAGTCAAAACATCCTAGCTCCTCGTCTAAGAACTTCCATGCAATATATCTCTTCATCATTCTTTCTTGTCTTCAACAAAGTCCAGCAAGGATCCCAAACAGTTTTGTATTATACATGCTTATGCACAATCTTATGTAGTATTAGTCTTTTTTTTTTCCTCGTCTAAAAGCCTATGAGATGCTTTGAGCCGACCATGATTATACCAGTGATTTATAGATATAAGATATGGATTTTGGAGACCATGGTGGGAAGATGGTCGGAGTTGATGTAGTCCGTGCACTACAAGAAAAACTGTCCAAAACCACAATATAGTCACAAAAAGTTTGTAGCTAGCTTATTTTAGCCACAAATCAGACACAAAACTATGTCGTGGCCAGTTAACCGTAGCTATTTAGCCACAAAAAAAACTGTGGCTAAATTGTAGCTATTAATGCCACGAATGTAATTCGTGGCTAATTTGTGGCTTGATAGCTACGGATAATCCACAAATTTGTAGTGGCTATTTCATTTTTTTTATTTTATTAAGCTAGCAACAAATTTGCCACAGATTTATCCATGGCTATACGAAACTCTAAACCCAAAGACAAGCCCTAAAACCCTAAACTCACAAAAAATAAATTAATTACTATGGTGTATAGTAATGTACCCTAAAACTAAGATGTAATAATTATGAAAAATCTTATTTTCAAAACGTAACCATAAACCTTAAATCTTAACTCTAAACCCTATACCACAAACCTGACCTAACTCCAAACTCTAAACTTTAAACCTTAAATTTTTAATCATAGAAATTAAATCATAAACCATAAAATGAAATTATAACCATTATATATATGCATAAAAATAATATTTAAAATTATTTACATAGGTACTTTACATAAAATACTTCTAGAAATTATTTCCTTTTAAATTTAAATCTCTAAACAAACAATTCTATTATTACATATATTCAAAATTAAAATTCCAATTCCAAATTACTAAAACTCAAGTTTGAAACCTTGTATTATAAAGTCAAAACCTTTAACTTAATAATACACATACTTAAAAAATAAATCAAAACTGTAAAACCAAAATTTACCAAAACAAAGAAGTGAAGACTTCTTATTGGGTAATCCATAGGGACAAGGATTAGACTTTGTCTTATTATCTACCATTGATTAGATTAAATCCAACGGATGAAATCTTTTCTTTCTTTTCTCTTTTGTTGGTCAAAAGTTCTCCTCTTTCTTCTCTTTCTCTTTCTCCTTCTCCTTCTCCTTCTCCTTCGTTCACTTCATTAGATCCCAGCAGCGACAAGCGAGACCATTGCAGCAAGCAACGAATAAGATTTTCTAGTGTGTTTTTGGAGAAGCTGAGAACTCACTTCAAAAACATCAAAGAGAAGTATCAAACAAACATTATGATTACAAGATCTACGGTAAGATGTTATTCAAAGATTTTTTTTTCCTACAATCTAACTCGTAGATAAGTAAACTAACCTATTGCTTCTTCTTCTTAGGCCGTATGGGCAGTTTTTAAGGCTGGATCTGGGCTGAGCCATTGTAGCTATCTAAAGTCTAGATCCGTGGGGGAAATCGTCTGGCGGTTCGGTGAGTAGTGCCGCTAGTGAAGTGCCGGTTCTTCCCTTCCACAGGTTGACGCCGACGTCGAGGCTTGTCGGCGAACAGATTCTGGTTGCGGCGGCGAGGACCTCCTTTGTTGTGATTAGGGTTTTTTTTTGTTGATTTTAGGTTCCGGTTGAACCGGCATATTGTTACCGGTTCAATTCTGTAACTCTTAACCAATTAATACAAATATTCATTTTTAATTAATTAAAAATAATTTGTTTTTTTTTTGTTTTTCTTTTTTTAGTAGCTACGGAAAACCACCATATAAATTAGCTACAAATCTATATAGATAGAAATTTTGTGTGTGGTTATTCGTGGCAATCCATAGTTATTAGACACAACAAAGTTTCTGGCATTTCGTGGCTATAATAGACACAAATTTGATTGTGGTAAGTTAGTGGCTATAAGCCACAAAGTTTATTGTGACTAATTTGTGGCTACGAGTCTACGAATAGCAACGAAGAAAAATAGCTACAACGCTATAGACACAAGTTTTTTTTGTGGCTTTCCAAAGCTATAATAAAAAAAGCCACGGAATTTGGGGCATAGATACAAAAAAATTTGTAGCTATAGACAGTTTTTCTTGTAGTGGTGATCCAAATACTGAAATTTATGTTGATGCTTAGAACTTTAGTGATGATAATGAGTGATGTCAATGAAGATCCTACAACACCAGTCACTAGAGAAAAAGAGAATTAAAACAAAAAGACTTTGATTTGAACAAAAGATAGTATTTTTGGACCATGAATTCAACTAAAAAATTAGCTTGATTAAAAGAGAATTTATCAAAATGACATTTTTTTTTTGAAGAGAGTAGAAGATGCATGTCCTTTTCTTTAAGATAGTTTTATTCTTAACTCAACACTTAAGAATCCAAAAATTCTCTAAAAATGCGTTGCCTATAAAGTGTGTGGCAACTGCATACTTCTTAATCAATATAGCTTTGTCTCTGATCCGTCCCTAATGATGTCAATAGAGATTTATATGTTAAGTTTTATGGGCTTTGCCTATGTCCCTTATATACTACTCAAGTCCTTTGCCATCTTTCCAATGTGAGATCTTTCTCCACACGTTTTCCTTTCAAGATAATGGTTATTCTAGCCATTTATCTAAACAAAATCTATCACGTTGCCTCAAGATAATGCTTTTCTAGCTATCTTGATAGACTTGAGCCTTGTTTTAGACCATCAACTAGTGGGAGTGATCGGGCCATTTTTCTGGACCGGATTAGACAGGCAAGCGTGTGTTCGGGCTCTGATACTATATTAAAAGAAGAGGTGCGTTGAAGTCTATTTTCGAGAACTTAAACCAACTTATTACTGGTACAGTAAGAGAGAGTGAGAGGGTACCGGATTAGCGGAGATTAGAGGCCGAGGAGGAACATGGAGTTTGGAGGCGGCGTTCTTGGGATCTAATTGGAAGAAGAAGGAAGAAATGAGAGAGATTTAAGTGTGGCGGTCGGAGGTACGACAGACATAACTAATAAAAGAAACAAGCGTCATCGGCTTATCGACGTATATGACAAGATCGAGAGAGTCGGCGGCTTATCGACATAGACGGCCAGATTGATGGAGACGGCGAATGGTCGGAGCTGCTAAAGAACGAAGAGAGACTACTAGAAGAAGCGATACATTCGACACCTTTTATGATGATCGTATCGTCTGGACAATTCACCCAGGCATTACGACAAAGACGAGAGTAAGATTCCAAAAAATAGATTATGACGATGATGTTATATTCATCTTTAACACTATACGAGATCTTTCCATTTGCATTGAGCAAATTGGATGAGTGGACATTTTTGAGCTTAATCGACACCATTTTGAGCTATAGCCGAGGGTAGGAATCAAAGAGTAGGTCCACCAGTGTCGTCTGGTCAGATTCGTGGCTTGTGTGCTCATGACCATACTTCAACTTCTATTGAGGGTGATAAACGGTGTGCTCAAGACCATAAACGGGGTAAGTGTCAGGCTTCAGAATTGAAGGCTGGAATTGAAGGCTGCTACATAGGCTGACCAGCTAGGTGAGGTTGAAGTGGCCGAGTAGCTTCAAGACCATACTTCAACTTCTGCTGCAAGAAGCAGACTTCAAATGGCATAGTACCATGGTGAGATTCGGGGCCTGTGTGCTCAGGACCATAAGAGGGGTAAGGATAAGGCTGAAGAGGTTGATAAACTAAGAGCTTTGGTAAACTCATCGCAAGGAAGGTTGGACTCAAAGAGCATGTCAGAGGCAGAATTATAAAACATTCTTTTCAGATTTGACAACGGACTTAACATCGGAGTCTATCGTTGATAAACGATAATTTTTTTTTTTTTGTAGAGTGTGAGGTTTTAATCTCCTTAAAACTCAAGACTTGCAAAGTGACAACCAAGGAAATAACGTTTTCGGAGATGTTTGTACAGAGAAATGAAGAAACAGATATATGAGTGTGAAGATAATGCAAATCAAAAGAAAGTAAATGGCACAAGAGAGGTAACGAGTTCAGCTAACCAAAGTGATATAGCATACATATTGCTGAGAATAAATCTTGGAATCCACTAGAACTTGAGATTACAAAGATGTTCTTGAGAGATTTTATATTTAGAACTTTCTTAGCTCCGTTAATATCTCTTTATCATCTCTTCTCTCTTGTGCTTTTCATTAGAGAAAAAAAAAGTTAAAAAATTTTAAATAGAAAAAAGATAGTTTTTTTTTTTCACCATGTACTCAACTAAAGAATCGGCTTCCCTCAAAGAAAATTTATCAAAATGACAACTACTTTTTAATGTTTTTTTTATTACATAAATATTTTGGAAACTAGAGTGGTTTTAGATTTCTTAGGATATACGATTTCTACAATATTTGTACAAATTTTTTAAATAACTTGAGGCGATCCACTTAAAAAAAAAAACTTATATTCAAGATGCAAATTATTTTGCACGAATGTTAGACTTCAACATTGAATAAAATTTTATAATGTCTAAACAAGAAAAATTCATAGCTTCAACAATCTCATTTAAAAAAATATTCAAAGACACATCAACTTCATGGGCCTGTTCCACATTTAACCATAACAAAATTTGAAATAATCTACCCGCCACTTGAAAAAAGCCCAATGGCTCCTTCTCCTAGAAGCTGGCGGGAAAATCCCAAATCTTTTCCCGGGAAAGTCGATAAAAAATTTCGGCCATTAAAGGACAAAATCACAAGAAAGTAGAAACCCTAGACATTTTGAAAACCGAAACCCCAAAAACCCCTTTGACGCCTCCTCCTTATCTCTTTATAAAAAACCATTTCTTTCCTGCAACATCGTTGCGCATCATCTGTTCGATAAAATTCCTCTGAGAGAGATTTGTTTCCTTCTGACAAAGAAATATGTATGTAGTGAAGCGTGACGGAAGACAGGAGACTGTTCATTTCGATAAGATTACTGCGAGGCTTAAGAAACTTAGCTATGGGCTTAGTAGTGACCATTGTGACCCTGTCCTCGTTGCTCAGAAGGTTTGTGCTGGTGTCTATAAGGGAGTCACTACGAGTCAACTTGATGAATTGGCTGCTGAAACTGCTGCTGCTATGACTTGTAACCATCCTGATTATGCATCTGTGAGTATCTCTCTTCGTTTTCCTTTCTGGGTATTGCTCGATTTTGATAGGAGAGATAATTTACATGTTTTCTGTGTTTCTATGTCAGCTTGCTGCTAGGATTGCTGTGTCAAATCTTCACAAGAACACTAAGAAGTCATTTTCTGAGACGTGAGTGTTGAGTTCTTTCTTAGTGGGTATTGTGTAATAGATTTGAGTTTAAGTTTCTTATGAGTTGACTTCAATGGATGGTGTGGTGTTTTGCAGGATTAAGGATATGTTCAATCATGTCAATGATAGATCTGGACTAAAGTCTCCTCTAATAGCTGATGATGTATTTGACATAATTATGCAGGTAAAGAAAAGCTTGTGTTAGGCTCTCAATTTGATCTGTTTCTTGTTGTGATATATGTGTATCACTGACTTGTGCTTTCCTTTTGTTTCTTCAGAACGCTGCTCGTTTGGACAGTGAAATCATCTATGACCGTGATTTCGAATATGATTACTTTGGATTTAAAACTCTTGAGAGATCGTACCTCTTGAAAGTCCAAGGGACAGTTGTTGAAAGGCCTCAACACATGCTGATGAGGGTTGCTGTTGGTATCCACAAGGACGATATTGATTCCGCAATCCAAACTTACCATTTGATGTCTCAGAGATGGTTCACTCATGCATCTCCTACTCTCTTCAACGCAGGAACTCCAAGGCCTCAAGTAAATACCTATCTATTGATATTTATGTATATCTATATAAGGGGTTTTACGTTAATATTTGTCTTTGCTGATCTGCTAGTGAAAATAATTGAATTTGCAGTTAAGCAGCTGCTTTCTAGTCTGCATGAAAGATGATAGCATTGAGGGCATTTACGAAACACTCAAAGAATGTGCTGTTATAAGCAAATCTGCCGGAGGTATCGGTGTTTCGGTTCATAATATCCGTGCAACTGGAAGCTACATTCGTGGCACAAATGGAACATCTAATGGTATTGTTCCTATGCTGCGTGTATTCAATGATACTGCTCGTTATGTTGACCAAGGAGGAGGCAAGAGAAAGGGTACATATCAGCACTTTGTACTACTAGCGTAATCATCTGTGCAGCATATGGTCTCCAGTGTATCTGATGTATTTTTTTTGTAATTGGAGAAGGAGCCTTTGCTGTATACCTGGAGCCATGGCATGCTGATGTCTTTGAGTTTCTGGAGCTGCGGAAGAACCATGGGAAGGTACAGTCATACCTAGATAATTCACCATGTATTTTCCCTAAATGTAATTTCCAATTGAGGCTGATACAACCTCTTAATACATTTTGTCCCTTTGCAGGAAGAACACAGGGCTAGAGACTTGTTCTATGCTCTCTGGGTTCCAGATCTTTTCATGGAGAGGGTCCAGAGTAATGGACAGTGGTCACTGTTTTGTCCTAACGAAGCTCCAGGTTTGGCAGATTGCTGGGGAGCTGAATTTGAGACACTGTACACGAAGTATGAAAGAGAGGTGGATCCCTATTTCATCCATGTATATGCTGCTTCTTTAGTAACTCAAATTCCTGTTATCTCAATAACAGTTATGTTTGTTCATATCTTCAGGGAAAGGCCAAAAAGGTTGTCCAGGCGCAGCAGCTTTGGTATGAAATATTGACATCCCAGGTAG